AACAGAACTTCCAGAACACGGCCTCACAGCCCAGAAGACCCACACCAGCCAACCCTCATAAATGCTTGCTTGCTTTATGATTCTAATGGATGTCTCCAAAATGTAAGAGATACCTTCAATTTGCAATTACTGAACTGAAACATTTGTAAAATGGATATTGTAGGATCTGAATGAAAATGCATTGTGAAGTGGGGGCAGGGGGAGAGAATAATCGAAGAATCTGTAAACAGGTATCTATATCTCAAGCGTGCATTGACTTTATTTCAGTTTAAGTAACATCATTTCCTTTTCCAAACAAGAGTTCTTGTAGTCTGAGAAGCCAGAACCAAGATGTGTCTTCATAAGCTCCCTGTAGGACCAGTTCTCTGGTTGGTAAAAAAAGAAAGTGGCCATTAAAACAGAATACATTTAGAATGGGGTTGTAGCTCTAGGAAGACAGCAGAGGAACAGCAAAACAATTGGAAGACATCTGAACTGCTCTGCTCATACTTGAGACTCTTTCCTACCTGGAGCTCTCCAGAAGTTTTGGGACTACAGTTCCCAGAATTCTGAACCATGCACCCATAGATCTCAATAGCACTGGATTATGGATTCATATGGGCAGGTGGGGAAGAGAAAGCTACCGAACTCTAGGGAACCTTAACCATCATTTATGCCTACCATAACTCCTTTTTGTCAACATTTAATTAAATTTCTCCAAATTACCTCCATAACAGAATATCTGAATGAAAATATCTCCAAAAGGTTTCAGTGTTATATATTTCTTTTTTGCAAGGGGGGGAGGGCGTGGAGAGGATGGGAAGATGGAGGATAAGGGGGAAAAAATCTGCTTGTTTTTTTACTGTAAAACTGGAATGATTTGGTTACAACTGCATTTAACTACAAGGGTAAACCAGCTGCAACTGCTATGGTCCACCCAAGAAGATGTGCTGCAAGTGCTGTGGTCCAGGTGCTGTGCAACTGGAGAGAGGTACTTTCCTAACTCCAGGAATGCAGTGATAATGTCCAAGGAAATTGTGTTTTTAGATAATATACTATTTCTTTACTATGACTTTACTGACAGGAAGAAAAAGCTACTCCATGCTGTCTGAATAGAAGCAGTCATTTCAGGGAGCAGAGTAGCATATACTCTGCTGGTGCCCAACATGTTTGTCCATCACTGCCATTCAAGGACATTTATTTATTTTACTTAAAGACCATCTATTTAGAGAACATGAATATTAAAATGAATGCTGCAATGCCTTCGCCTTTTTATAGCGCTGATTTTTGCAACTGCTGTTAAAGATTTGTGTTTGTTTACAGTCCTAACCGCGTTCCTGAATCCTAACTCTTCCCCTTTCAGTGAAAAAGAAAAAATATCTTTTTATCTAAAAGTACTGTTTATTTCTACCTTGGGCAGAGTCCCTAGAGAACATCTGGTCATGTTTTAGCTTTGCTGTTGTGTAATTCCGACTCATTCAAATTGGGCTGGAAAAGGAACTAGTGTAAAGTATGATGAATTGCAGCTTGTTCATTCACCGAAAGCAGCTGATGTTCTGTCTAAATCATGTATGGGCATTGCCTTAGAAGTTCTTACTAAGAACTTACTGAGGATCCTTAAATCTTTTCATCCCATGGTGGCTGGCATTATCCCCAGTTCCCTGTCTCAAAAAATAATATTCTTGAGGGTGGTTACCATAGTGATGAATAAAACACAAACCGAGGGGAGGGGAGGCATATTTTTCCACAGATGAACATTTAATTGACTCATAGTAAGCAAGTATACTTCCAAGCATTATGTCTCCTGGTGGTCAACTGTTTTAATTTTTACCTTGCCAAATTTGGTTTTATTTTAAAAAATGAAGTCATTGTTTCACAAAGTTGGAAGGAAGCATCTAGGCTGAGTCCCACTTTCTGCTTAACATAAGAATCCACTTCCACTTAGATTCATCCAGTGAAGGGGAGTGCCCACATCTGTAGGTTGCTGGTTTAACTGTTAAGTTGCTCTTACTTTCAGGGATTTTCTCCTAGCATTCCGTTGGAATTTGCTATCTCCTTTTTTAGGAATTGCAACTCTCCTTGGGATCCTTTTCCCATCAGCTTCCCATCATGGAATCCTATACACCATGGTTTTGAGTTTATAAAAACCTGCTTCTTTAGTTTTTTAAAATTCGATTTGTTTTCAGAAAGCATCATTCACATTGTGTCCTTGGGTGAGCAGGCAATATTAGACACCAACAACAGTACAGGCATACCTTGGAGATATTGTGGGTTCCGTTCCAGACCACCCAATAAAGCAAATATCGCACTAAAGTAAGTCACACAATTTTTTTGGTTTCCCAGTGCGTATAAAAGTTATGTTTACACTATACTGCAGTCAAAATCTTTCTCAGCAAATTCTTTTGTTCATTTTGACAAATGAGGTCAACAGGAGTTGAACTTTTGTTAGTATGCTAGATGATGCCCTCCACTGGATTTAGATTTTCAACACTTGAAGGCAAGAGGTTCAAAAATATTTTGTTAGTGCCTTCATCTCCAGTGGGTTCCAATATGCCCACCAGGGTCTATTCCCCATCAGATGTTAACACGCTGTTACAGCAGTGACTGCTTTATCCATCTTCCCCTCCAACCTAGCGTTGGGATCTTTATCTCTGCTCACCCATGTACCACTTTGTCTCCAGCCCTTCAGCTCCAGCAGTGGGTCCCAAGAAAGTACAGCAAAGCAAGGCATGGATGGATGGATCACTTCCCATCACTGGCAGGCCTCTGGAAAGCTACACTCACTAACACTCGTCACTTCTTTTTCTTTTCTACATAAAAGGAATGGGTGGTTAGATAAACCACAGATATGGCTGTCCTCATCGCATCAAATTTAGATTGAAATCCACTACGATGTACTTCATTTTCCTCTGATTTACAAAAGAGACGTGTGGGAGTTTCTGAGAGGAGACAAAATGACAAGAAATCAATTTGTGGGACATTATTTGAAGATCAAGCTTTTTAAAATTAAATAGAAGGAATATAAAGTGGATTTACTCGATCAGGGTTAAAATACAGATGTGGTTTCTGGCAACTCTTAATGGAATTTCTTTTTGACTAGGACGAATGACAAGGCTTTAAAGATGTGTTTATAGATAACAAATAAGATATGGGGAAAGATTTCTTTTGCTTTATTTATTAGAGAAAGTGGTAAGTTGGAATATAAAATGGATTTATTTGATTAAGGTTAAAATATTCTGGTAGCTCTTAATGGACTTTTGCTGATTAGGACGGACAGGTTTTTACAATTTTATTGATAAGGGATGAGATAAGGGAAGAAGATTTTTTTTAATTGAAATATTAGAGAAGGTGTTAAGTTACTAAGTTGTTTATACTTGTCTGGAGGGAGGAGGGAGTCACTTCCTTATATGTCTTTTTCTCTTATTTTTTCTGCACTTTTTATTTTTTACTTTTTATATTCTTCTTACTTTGTATTAGTTCTTTATCTTTGTATTTGTAAACTTTAATAAAATTATTATTTAAAAAAAAGAGAGAAGGTAGCAGTTGTTGATCCACCTCAGGCAGCAGAAAACTTTGGCTCAGCCTTAGCAGTAGTGCATATTTCTGTGAAAAACAGGACATACACATGCCTAATACTTCACCACAGAAAGAGATGCTTGAGGCACTAGCCAAGAGTTTTCCAGGAGGAATAATTTGATAGAGGTAGAACATTCTTTTAACAAGGAACAAACAAAATACCAACAAATAAACATGGTTAGATTTGAAGAGATCTCTTTAAAGCTTCCCTGGGTGCTTATTGCACTATTTTCTGCTTGGCAGGAAGACTATCCCTCTTAGTAAATACAGTCAATCTATACCACTTAACAACAAGCCCTGAAAGCAGACTTTGGTGTTAGCGCATACCTCTTATTCATCCCCTCCCTCATGCAACTCAGTTTGGCACCAAGTACAATGTTCTTAAAGCATGGAGGTAAGGAGGACATCCTTCTCCTGTTTACAAAAATGTGAAGTGGTGTGAGAAATGCATTTGACGGTCCAAAGAAAATGAGCAGGCCATGACTGGTTCTGAACATAAGGAAGGCTGTGTTCTTCTGTTCAGTATGCTTGTCACTCCTCACCATGTGTGTAACTACGTGACAAATTTCCATTGGGTCCAGCAGCACCATGCTGAATTAAGGTAGGAATTCCATGAAGCTTTGCACTTGACCCCAAACACACATAGAAATGCCCAGATGATGGGTAGTCATGGCCATATG